TCTTCAGCCTGTCTGTTGGTGCCGACGTTGTGTCGATTACAAAATCATGAGCGGATACCCTTTTAAGGGTATCAGCTCCGACAGCGCCACTAACGAGAGAGCGCGCCCACGGGGCCGGGTACATGGCGGGCGTCAATGCGCATTAATATCTGAACGCGCCCGACGTCGGATAGCAAGAAAGTGTTGTTTCGTTTCTTTTTGTAATTTTTTTTTCTCCTTCTAGCGTGTCCTTTTGTTTCCTTTTTTTTCCTTCTCCTCCTCCTCCTACCCCTTAAGCAGCATTGGTCGCGAGGGAGGTCGACGGTCCACTCCACGCCGGACTTTGGGGGGAAGTTTTGCTGCTGGGCGGAGCGGCGGCGGGCGTCGATGCGAGGGAATATCTCGAAGCGCCCGCCGTCGATCGCAAGAAAGTGTCGTTTTCTGTTTTTTCCCTTTAAATTTCTAATTCTGTTTTTGCTGGTTTTTTTTTTTTCCTCTTGGGACGTGTTTCTCTTTTTTTTCTTTTCTTTCTTCCATTTTTTTTTTTTTTTTTAATACGTTTTCGTCGTTTTTACTCTTTATTCGTTTTCGTCGTTTTTACTCTTTATTCGTTTTTGTCGTTTTGGCGCTATCTTTTTGTTTTCACAAGTTTTATTTTATTCATCGTTTTGGCGCCAAGTTTCTTCGGCGTTGGCGTTGACAAAAGGGAGCGGGGTGGCGAGTGCGTCGCCCACCCACCCACCCACCCACCCACACGCACGCACGCACACACAGACACACACACACACACACACATTAATATTTCTAAGTTTGCTATCAATGGTTGTTGTTGGGGTTTGAACCCATGCACAAATTTGAAATACGCAACTGCCCTAACCAAACAGGTGGATTGGGTCCCTGTGTGGTTTTGGGGACTGCTTCTTTATGAAGTGTATCCGATGTCAGGCAGCTGACAGGTCAGAATGTGCCTGTGTGTCCAAACCTTAATGTTGCACAGTGTGGCAGGTGGTCCAGTCCCACAATTTTCAAGCACCAAGCCTGACGATTTTTCGCGCTCAAACGAATTGAGGAAAAACTATGACAATTTGAGATTGCGTAGATTAGGTTGTAATCTTTCTAGGAAAAATATGAAAAAAAAATAAAAAAAATTAGACCGTGAAATAAATGCCGTGCCGTTTAGTTGCACTGTCCATTTTTATCATTCTTGCACATGTTGAGAGAGCATTTCCTCAACCGAGCGATCACAAAGCAATCACGAAGTCATGCACATACAAAGTGCCATAACCGAGCTTCAAAGATAAAACAATGATTACAGCCCGAGCAACGCGCACCGCCTTCATTCCACTATGTCCGAGATCCCCCAAACGCTCCTCCAACAAAAGCGCTGACTCTTCTCCGGTGCACAAGGCACCAAAAGGGAGTCCAACCGACTGTCTGCCAGTTTTTATCGCGACGTCTTAGTCAAACACCCGAGCCAAGGCAACTCGAGCTCAGAACCGCTACCGGTCAATGGGTCGAGACCAAGTTCACGATAACCTACATCACACAAAGCAAACCAACAATGCCCACAAAGCAGAACAAAACCAGCCCAGCCACCTTCGACAGGTCACCTGTTTGAGACCGGTTCGCCCCAATCTACTTCTACAGCAATATCGAACCTTCTGCCCTGGTCCACATCAGACCCCTCGTCAATACTATCATCGAGCCTTCAATTCCACACTAATCCACGGGATGCAAACAAACAAGGCAAAAACAAAAACAACCAAAAACAAAAGCCACCCTCGGCAGGTCACCAATTCGAGACCAGTTCGCCCCAATCTACTTCTGCAACAATATGGAGCCTTCTGCCCTGGATCCATAGAACCCACTGCATTCCTGCAACATTCTAACACCAACAGTCGCATTTCAGCATCCCACATTCGAAGTACACCGGAACACATACCAAAACCCATTACTCCCTTAACTGCGTACACAGACATACATCAACTAAGAAGACAAACACCTACTCCACAAACAAGTCTGTTACAGCAACGGGCCAACCACTCATCAGGGAAAGACCTGCCCACGGTCCACGCGTATCATTCAGACACAAGGCCCCTTCGTCAATAGTTCGACGAGCAACTTCCACAGTATCCCTTTGTCACGAGCATAGTTTCGCAGTCCTTTGTCAAAGAAGTGCCCTGGGTAATCCCGTCTCCGAAGCTCCATTCGCAGAAGAAGCAAGGTCCCAACGAGCTCCATATCCGTCATAGAGTTATGCTCGATTCTATGCAGTGCGCTAACCACGACGGCTAACTTTGCTTTCTTTGGTATCCATGATCGATAATCCTGGAAAACCCGAAAGGCCAACTCTGATCCATCCAACAAACTCCTCTCGTTCTCCATTGCCTGACAGCAACCCAGAAATGGGAAGGTCCCCTTAACTGTCAATCTACAGCCAAGGAATTCCCACTCGTTCTCACTTAAGTCAGTCTTCTTCAAAGTCAGGGCATCATCATAGCATCCTTCGAACAGCGAGAGGATCCTCTCCGCTTTGCGTTTCGACTCAGGTTTCCTCAGGTCGTATGCCACAAAGGTGGAGGCATCATCAACGTACCGAATCCCGACAACCAGCCTCCGATCATTCCCAATGCTAATAAAAAATCCCATTCCACCTTCACACACATCAAGCAAGCGAGTGGCGGACTCGTCGCCTTTCCCATTGGTATTCCTATTTTCTGTCGCAGGATCGAAACACTAGCGATGGTAAAACACAAATCCAATTCAAATTGGACAAAATTCCGGATCATAGCAAACTCGATGAATTGACGCCCCTCAATCTGGCGCTTCCTACTCATTACTGCTCCCTTCCCCCGTTGCTTCACCCACACACCACGGAAACCTCTTTGCTCATGCCACCATATGCACCATTCCAAAGCACACACAATCGCATCGTGAGGCAATTTACTAAACATATCCTTAATATAGTAAGAGCCCACGAGCACGCCTGTGTACTTCCCTACTCTTCTCATCCTCCGATTGCTCATTGTCAGACGAGGTCGCAGTCCACAGATCGATTTCAGATTGAAGTGTCCACTTTCTGGCAGCGCAAATAGCATCCCGTTGACCACAAGCGCTATCTTCCTACACACACCGTTGCTAGGTTCGCTGTACGTTGGACAGATCGGCCTATACTTTGCCGTATCCTTATGCTTAGGCAAGGCAGCATTCTCGAATCTCCCCTCGGCATCCCATTTACCCAGCCGGTGAAATTTCCGTTTTCAAAATTCCCCTCGGATTTCACTGAGAATTACCCCCTCCTTCCTCTCACAAACCTCGTAACCATCATTTTCCACGAAAGTTGCCTTCATCGCTTCCCCATATACAAACGGACACATCACAAGTTTATCCCCTGGATTCCTATCCAGGGGAGTCCGCACCAGTCCATCCAGTCTCGCTGCTAGTTGTCTAACTGTCGTCAGATCACCAGAGGTGTCCGCTCCGGATCTTCCTACACAGCGCCCGACTTCCTCCAGCGAGAAACTGATCTTTCCGACATCCTTCCCTAACCAACTCACGTCATCCACCGCATTTGACAACTCTTTCGCCAATCTGGTCAACACACCGTTACCACCATCCCTCGGCACATTCTTAGCATTCCGGGCAATGTCAGGGCACTCAGTCAACTCTCCCAGGCGGAAATGGACGTGCCCTCCCAATCGAGGGAAGGACATATCGATGCAAGTGCACCCAAAGACCCCATCCGCCGCGTAGCGACGGTGATTATGGAGGATCTCACCCACGTTCTGGCTCCTTGTCCATACAACGCGGGCGCGTCTTCGTACCATTCCCACCACAGACCGAGTCAATTGTAGTCTCCCCACGCCACTCCGTACTAATCGCACCACCTCGCTCTTCCTTACCCTATCATCATACTCGACCTTCACTATGATCCGTCTCCTAACATTCATTCCAAACTTCCTCCTAAACACGTCAGATAACATTCTTCGTGCCCTAGTTCTGCTTCCCTTCTCCGAAAACAGTTTCGCAGCGCCATAATAACTCACCAACTCATCCACCGTCTTCTCAAATAACCTTTTCCGCTTCCTTTTATTCTTGAACATGCCGATCAGGTCCTGCTTCATTTTCAATGTCCTCGGTAATGCTTCCACCACATCCCGCATCACCAATCGCCCCTCGGTTTCCAACAGCCTCTTACACTTCCTTAATGGTCTCGTTTTTCTTCCCACGACTATGCATGTCCCGCCAAAAAGCCTACGTACTACGCGCCAACCGTCTGACCATGTCTTCCCTCCGTTGCTCAACACCTCAACTCCAGTACCATGCGACTGCTTAACCATATTCCTCAAAAAATCCACTATCCGCACGGCAGGCGAGCCGCTGAATGTCCGCAACTCCAATATCTTCCCTTCCTGTCCAATGTTGTTTCCCATGGTCCCAACCTTTCTTACCCATTGTCCTCGTCTCTCCTTTTTCCCTTTCCTTCGTCGCTTCCTTGTCTTCTTCTTCGCGCCCCTCGTGTTCAGGGACGGCGACCATGTCCTAATCAGAGTTCTTTCTACAACTTCCAATTCGGCCCTATCCCTACAGAAATACACGGGTATCGCCACGTACTTTTCAAAACCTACTTTCCCCAACCAATTGTACATAATCCTTCCCCGTTTCGTTCCTCCCTTCTTAATACAATTCAAATGCTCTCCCCAGCATCTCATCAGGTCCCTCTCCGTCATACCCACGTACGTTTGCCTATGCCATGGTGATACTAACACGTATACACAACCTCTCGCCTCACCCAAATCCAATACACCAGAATCAGATGCCGTTCACCAATACTCGATGAATTTTCTACAGCATTTTCCTCTCCCCCTGCAAAACCAAATACAGTACTAAGGCCCGCATACATCGTTCGTCCTCTGTGTTGCGACCAGGCTGCTGAAGTCGCCTCTCCGTCAGCAGCCCAATCTTGCTTCATAGATCCTGAGGTCTGCCTCCTCACTCGGACGCAGTCTCGTCGTCCTTATCCTTACCAGCTTCCGTCGTGCGCGTCGTCCTTCCTGACCGCCACACTGCTGCCCCTGGGGTCTCAGGGAGAGGTACGTCAACAGGATCGTAAGCCTTTATGACCCTCCTTTTCACCAGTCGATTGATCACTGTTTCACGTTTTCCATACACAATTCGTTCCGCCTTGCATGCATCTTTGAACTCGTCGATGGTCAGTGCTTCCAAAAGCTCCCGGCAGTTGGCTTCATACTCCTCTCTCGCGCCGGGCCCAGTTCCAACAGTCACGTGTTTGATCGACAAGGCGATCTTCCCAACCGGCTCCGGCACCAGCGACGAACAACCTGCCGCGGTTGTCTCGTTGCCTCTGATCTCCTCTATCCGTAATTTAACCTCACTTGAAAGGCCCGTCCGCTGCCCTTTTGTAGGTGTAACCATCGGGGGGCTATTTCCCACCACCATCTCTTTGCCCAACTTCCGTTTGTCGTTCAAAGTCAATCCGGCTGCCCTTCGACGCAGCCTACGTAGCTCATCATCCTCAAAATCTTCCTCGTCCATTTCCGCCATTGCAATCATTCGCCTCAACCGCTCCTTTTTCCTCTTCGAGCGTTTCCCCTTGTTCGTTTTTTCTCACAACTTTCTTAACCTTTCGTACTATAATTCCTTCGCCGTCCTTCTCTTTGTTGCGTAACAGTTTTTCGCGCACCATGCGCATCAGTCGCTCATCACGCTCGTCCTCGTAGTTCCGTTTCTCAGCTAATTCCTGGAGTCTTTTCTGTTCCGCTTCCCTTCGCGCTTTTTCCTCCCTCCGAGCTGCCTCCTCTCTAGCTTCCCTTTCCAAGCGTTCCCGCCTTTCCTGCGCCTTCTGCAGAAAATACTCATGCATCAGCCCGTCCATATCACTCCCACCTCTCCGAAAATTACTATCAGCTGACAGGCTCCTTCTCTCCTGTCCAACAGCCAGTGTTCGACCTCCCCGTACCTACGGCGGAGGAACAAATGGCACACCTCTACTCTTCGCTTCCTTATACTCATCACAAACGCTCGCAAAATGGTATGGATCTCCACACTTGTAGCAGGTACGACCCGCCATCCAATTCTCTGATCTCGATCGATGGCCTTCATTTCCACTCCCACGGCCACCACTATCACCTCCAAGTCCACTTGAGCCACTGGCTCCACTCGTACCACTTTCACGACTCATCCTTCACTTCTCGCAATATCACTTCTAGGCATGCTCCGCTGCTCCGAATATTCTGAATACTCCGGGTCTCCGCATACTCCACATACTCCGTAGTGACGCGCCGCCACCCCCTTCAGGTACAATCACCTGACAGGTTACGACGATTGGTGCTAGAGAGCATTTCCTCAACCAAGTGATCACAAAGCAATCACGAAGTCATGCACATACAAAGTGCCATAACCGAGCTTCAAAGATAAAACAATGATTATAGCCCGAGCAATGCGCACCGCCTTCATTCCACTATGCCCGAGATCCCCCAAACGCTCCTCCAACAAAAGCGCCGACTCTTCTCCGGTGCACAAGGCACCAAAAGGGAGTCCAACCGAATGTCTGCCAGTTTTTATCGCGACGTCTCAGTCAAACACCCGAGCCAAGGCAACTCGAGCTCAGNCGAGCCAAGGCAACTCGAGCTCAGAACCGCTACCGGTCAATGGGTCGAGACCAAGTTCACGATAACCTACATCACACAAAGCAAACCAACAATGCACACAAAGCAGAACAAAACCAGCCCAGCCACCTTCGACAGGTCACCTGTTCGAGACCGGTTCGCCCCAATCTACTTCTACGACAATATCGAACCTTCTGCCCTGGTCCACATCAGACCCCTCATCAGTACTATCGAGCCTTCAATTCCACACTAATCCACGCGATGCAAATAAAGAATGCAAAAACAAGAACAACCAAAAACAAAAGCCACCCTCGGCAGGTCACCAGTTCGAGACCAGTTCGCCCCAATCTACTTCTTCAGCAATATCGAGCCTTCTGCCCTTGTCCCAACGGGAAAAGTACCCCAACTTCCACGATTTTTTGCGCTCAGAAGCATAAACCCACAACTCTGAGAATTGATAGGCCTGTAGAATGGGTCGTGATCTTTCTACGAAAAATATTTAAAACAAAAAATAAAATACCAAAGATCGTGAAATAAACACCGCGCCAATTCGTCCTATATTCAGCTTTTGAGGTCTTTTGCTGCTGTATCATGTGATGGCCAATGGGAAAAGTACCCCAACTTCCGCGATTTTTCGCGCTCAGAAGGATTACTCCACAACTCTGAAAATTGACAGGTCTATAGATTGGGTTATGATCTTTCTATGAAAAATATTTTAAAAAATTAAAAAACTATTTAAGATCGTGAAATAAATGCCGCGTCAATTCGTCCTATGTTCTTTTGTTGGTTTTTGTTCCCCTTCAAAGTTTGTCGTTTCCCGCTTCCACGGCCTTTTGTTTTCTTCTGTTTTTTTTCCTGCTTTTTTTTTTTTT